TTTTTTTATCAACTTCGTCTTCTCGTTCTATACCCCTGCTAAGTTTGTTCGCCATTTTCTCCAAAGTTTCTCCAAGTTTAGTAACCGCATTACTAAATCTGTCAACCATGGGATCTACTTGACGTTTTCTCTTCTTACGACGCACAGTTGAAGTTTCTTCAGATTGCATATTTGCATTCCCACCTTGAACATTGCTAGTTGCAATTACGTCATTAGACTCGTCATTCAGGTTTTGTGTTTGATCTTCTGTACGCGCCTCTTGTTCCGCCTCAACAAAATCTCTTGCTCTATTTCCTGTGGCACGATCTTTTCCGAATACAATACAAAGATCCTCATAAAAAGGATTTGTTTTGTTCTTCCATTTTCCCGCCCCTTTATGGACCTATTTCATAACAGGAATTATTAAATATACATATAACTATGATTACATATCCTGCAAATATAAATACCAAGTTCTTTTGAGCATGTACCTGAAGATACGACTCCCAAACTTGGTCTTCCGCAACGACACAATGCTTCACACTATCGTATCCGAAGCCACTAGTATATGAACCATTAATCATGTCATGCACAATAGTCCAATCTTTCTTCATTATTTTTAACTTTGATTCGATGTGTGGTTTCCCTAAAATCCCGGTGCCTGGCAGAGATTCTTTTAACGATTGTTCAAGAAATGTTAAATAACCCGATTTAAAGCCATTATCGGCTTTAAATGCTCCCGTATTCACCATAGTAAGTAAAGCTTCAACGAGTTTTTTTTCTTCAATATTCGTCCAAACTCTATAATTTCTATTTTGACTCGTCATACCTACAAACATAAATGAATCAAAAATATAACGACATTTAATTACACTACAAAAATGCTGGGTATCAGCGAGGGAAAATTCCCTCGCTGATCCGTCCCTGAAAGTGCTTTCCGTCGTTGATCCGTCGCTGATACTCCGTCGGTCAAAAATGCTGAGGGATCAGCGAGGGAATGTGTTTTTTGTCATTTCCCTCGCTGATCCCTCGCTGATCTGCGAGGGAAAAATTCCCTCGCTGATCTGTGAGGGAAAAATTCCCTCGCTGATCTGCGAGGGAAAAATTCCCTCGCTGATAGTCGTCGCTGATACCTGGTTTTCTAGTAGTGTTATCCATGTCCAAACTCCATAATTTCTATTACAAAACAAACATTAGATTTCAACAAACATGGCAAGTATGAGTTAAACAAACATTAAGGATGAGTTAAACAAATATTTGAATCATACAAATTAATTGGTAGCATTACAAGAATCAAACATAGATTGTGCTAAATTGTCCCTAAGGGTGCGTTTGGTGCGTGGGACAAGGTGGAACAGGACAGAACAGGACACACTTGTCCCATGTTTGGTGTGTTATTAAATGGAACTAAGTAGAACTAACATGAACAAGGATGGGACACGGGTGTTCTACCTTACCCCCTGGAACTAAGTAGAACAGGGTATTTTTTACTAATCTACCCTCACCATCGCTTCCTTCCCCGCCTTCCCCTACCTCTCCATCGCTCCTCCATTCATCAATCGGCGACCCGCGTGGCGACCGACGACGGCAGAGGCGATGGGCGACGGCAGAGGTGCAGTCCGATCAATCGACGATTTCCTTTCCATCGACGATTTCCTTTCCATCGGCTGTTTGATGTTTGAACGATCTAGGGTTTGTCACATCAGGTACACCATCGCACCTTACCTATCCTTCATCAATCGGCGATTTAGGGTTTCTGATTCATGTTTGCTGTTTTGCATAACTCGATTTAGGGTTTCGGTGATTTAGGGTTTCTGATTTCATTCTCGATTTTGCATAACTCGATTTAGGGTTTCGGCGATTTAGGGTTTC